TTTTATGAAGTTTATATTTTTGGAATGACGTTGTCCTGTACTTCCTGAATATGTTAACCTGCCCCTAAGATGACACGACTTTTTGCGTACATATTTTTGAGCCTATTCGTCGAATTATTCATATATGTAAGGGCATAATTGAATATATTTACCGATATAATGCAATATTACATTGCTTCCCTATTACATTTATAGGGAAAATGACATAAATGCCCTACAAACTTTCTAGGGTTCACCCGTTGAGTCCTTAAAGCTTTTGTCGGGCTTTATGTGTCCCTAAACTAGGATATGACCTGCTTTTTTAGTCCCTATCAACCTGTAATAGCCGGTTCAGTGACATTTTAGACCAAAAAAACTCACATTGTGCCCTTATAAAGCCAAAAAAAATAAGTTTGGGGATCAATTCGTACCAAAAAAACTCTCATTCTTTCTTTCTTTTCTTCTAAAGCCCATTTTCAATAGCTTTGACAATTTCAGCATCTAGAAAGATTTTACAACACCGGTACAAGGAGTTTCATAGATTGGCTTCAAATCATCAAGACACAAGCATCTCCGGTAACCCCCAATTTGCAATTGCATGTTCACAGGTTTCTTCTGCTTTTGGGGTTCTATGCGCTATATGTGCTTGCATTTTATTTACTAAATTGATAACTATGTTGTTGATAAATCAAGATTTGATTATGGAAAATCAAATTAAAAGTGGTCAATTGACGTGATTGTTATTGTGCAATCAATTGGGGCAATAGTAGGTAGTATAGCATCGATTTTTAGATGTTTGACTGCCACAACTCATTTCAACCTCTCCATGAAATGGAGCAAGAACCATCTAAACGTTTTCAGAGTCAAGAAGCACCTTATCAAAATGCTTCAGCTGTGGAAACGCAGCCATGTCCCTTCATATATCACGGGATGCCATTGCAAAAAGATTTTCCGTAACATTAGATACTTGATTTTGAATATTTGTAGGGCATTTCAGATAAAAGTTGCGGTGATATGCAACACAACATGTCTGATTCCTAGATCTTTTCTGATCTTACTTTCTTATAGTTTGTTAACACGTTGTCGCGCACGTATTAAACAAATAAATTTATCATTGCTGGTTGCACTAAAAATATAGCACAGGGAAGCAGGGTCGAATCCTCAGGGACACAGCCTAAAAGTCAATGCCTTTTTGCATCAGGCACATCTAGTCAAGAAACAGAATATAAAAAGGGGGGTTTTGATTAAAACTAATAACTAGAAATGCAGTGATAATAAAGTAAATGAAAGTCAATAATAAAAACAATTCCAGTTCTGCTGTGACTTTCCTAATCATGCAACTGATCCAGATCTGATTATTTGAGATACGTTCTATCTAAGCTGGTACTGAGAAAAACTAACAAGCTTTAGTAATTTCTCTTTTACCTTATTTAGTTAACCAAAACAAGCTCTTCAATTAACCGTAACTTTTTACTGTCTAATCAAACAAGCTCTTAATTAAGATCAGAAAAGTTGCATTAACTTCTTTGTAAAATTCCCAGCAATACCCAATACTTCTCACAAGCTCGGAAGCGTAAATATATGATTTTTA